GAGGAGGAGGAGGAGGAGGAGGAGGAGGAGGAGGAGGAGGAGGAAGAAGATGGGGACTGTGGGGTCCCTGATGCTCTCTGAGCTTACTTGTTTCCTTGCCGACTTTTCATTACCCAACTACATAACATCATCAGTACTAGAATAGAGTAGGGAGGAGGAGGTGGTGGTGGTGGAGGAGGAGGAGGAGGAGGAGAACAACTGTTGGGTCTTTGATCCTCTGAGCTTGGCATTTTTCTTGCAAACATTTCATTCCAAACCAGGTAACCTCACCCGTCATGTCCGGCTGGGGAATTCTGGGAGTTGAAGTCCACATCTCCTAACGTTGCTAAACTTGTGAAACACTGACAGATCTCACCGGCAGAGACCTTGGAGCTATTTCTGCCTTCCACCGCCCGCTTCCAGGACGCCCTCCCTCTAAAATGTCTTTTTCGCCCTTCCCCCTCCCCCCCCCTCCCCCCCCCCCCCCAGTTATTTCAATGGCCGGGGCTATCCTGGCACATGTCCAGCTGGGCTAGGGGATTGCATAAGTATCCTTGATCAGCTGAGCTGGACAGAGCCGCAGGCGAGCGGACGCTGGCTTTGGCCCGAGACGGAAGGGCCGAATAATTGCAAAAGAAATCCTACTGCCAAGAACCAGGATTCCTAAATTAGGTCGCCCAAGGTAAACAACATTTGTATTCTGAGGTGGTTGTTGTTTGTATCCTCGGAGTAGAAGACGGAGCCAAGTGGTTCTGCATGTCTACTCAGAAGCCTCGGAGCTACCCTTGAGAGCCCGGTTCTGTTTGTAATATTAATAATAATAATAATAATAATAATAATAATAATAATAATAATAATAATAATAGTAGGATTAAACTTATCGACCTACAGGTCATCCTCAACCTATGGCTGTCAGCTTTGTAAGCCCTACTGAGACCAGACACTTCCAAACTGAGGCAGATATTTCTCTCTCCGAGCACAATGAGAGTGCATCTGCTGCGAACTCCTTATTGGCGACTGGAAGGGCATCTGGCCAGTAAACACTCAGCTTATTTTTAGTTGCCTGAACTTCGCCCCGCAAGGGATTATGGGGTCGTTAAATGGGGGGGATTACATTGAATTGTTAAATTGTCCTGGTGTGAGTGGCCTTGGAGAGTTGGCTGCAGCAAGTCGCCCCGTTTCATCTGGAGCCAGGAGAGGGCCAGGCTGGGCTTCCATAGAGACCCCGTCAGCCCTGTCAGCTTTGGAAGCCATATTGAGACCAGAGGCTTCCACACTGCCACATTCTTGAGCCTGGGGAAATGGGAGGGGGGGATTTCTTAGAGTGTATGTAATTAAACATAATAACATTCTTTTTTTCTAACTCAAGGTCATGTTATTTCTGCACCTGGGTGAGAGGACGTCTCAAGTTGGGACGGATGGTGATTGGGGCATGTTGATGCGATGATGGGCACAGGGGGTGGATTTGTAGTTTTTTACTTATTGTAAGGAAATCCGGAACTTTCAGATTCAGGATTCCCCAGATGTGCCAGTTTACTACCCAAATCAAACAGAACTTTTGAGAAGATGCCTGTCTCGGAGTTATTGGTTGGAGTGGAGTTCCCCTTCTATTCCCTCGTCTAAGTCGTTAATGAAGATATTGAAGAGTCCTGGGCCTAAGGCGGAACCTTGTGGCACCCCACTGCTTACTTCCCTCCATGTAGACTTAGACCCATTAAGGACTACTCGTTGAGTACGGTTTGCCAGCCAGTTGCAAGTCCATCTAGCGGTGGTGCTATCTATTCCACTTTTTTCTAGCTTATTAAGAAGTAGGTTGTGGTCTACTTTGTCGAATGCCTTGCTGAAATCTAAATATATTATGTCCACAGTATTTTGCTGGTCTACTAATTTAGTCACTGTGTTGAAGAATGAAATAAGATTGGTTTGGCATAATCTGTTTTTAACAAACCCGTGCTGACTGCTAGTTATTACTTTACTTGTTTCTAGATGTTGGCAGATCTGGTTTTTTTATTATCTTTTCCAGTATCTTCCCAGGTATTGATGTTAGGCTGTTTGGTCTATAGTTTCCTGGGTCTATTTTTTTTTTCCTTTTTTGAAGATGGGAACCACATCAGCTCTTTTCCAGTCCTCTGGTAGTTCCCCGGTGCTCCAGGATTTTTGAAAGATATGGTGCAGTGGTTCTGAGATGACCTCTGCCAGCTCCTTTAAAACTCTGGGATGTGATCCATCAGGCCCCAGTGATTTGTTTTCATCAAGATCAGACAGGTGTTCTGTCTGATTCTGCAGTTCTTAAGTTAGTCACACGATCGTTAAGAGAATCTGGCTTCCCTGTGGACTTGGCTGGTCAGAAGGTCACAGAAGGGGGTCATGGGACCCACTGTCATAACTACGAGTTGGTTGCCAAAGTGGTCTGAATTTGGATAATGTGACCCTGGGGAAGGCTGCAATGTCACCTTTTTCAGTGCTGTTGTAACTTTGAATGGTCGCTAAATGAACTGTTGTAAATCAAGGACTACCTATATAAAATACAAATGAAAGGGAGGAAATGAGGAAGGGAAAAAGGGAGGGAAAGAGAGAGAGAGAGAGAAGGGGAAAAAAGAAAGGAAAGCATTGACTCCCGACTGTTTTTAGTGCAGTAGAATAAAAGTGGTACGATTTTTTACTTGTAAGTGCTTGATAGATGTCGTCCCTTCCCTTCTTGTCTTCTCAAATGCAAAAGGAGAAACCTTTCTCTTTTTGTTTTGCTTCGAGTTTGTTTTGAAGATCTAAACACCCCACGAGCCAGATCTGTCCCGCGGGCCTTGAGTTTGACCCTCCCGCCTCACTTTAAGTGCTTAATGTGGACTAGCCGTACCTGTCACAAGAAACCCATCTAAACAGCAAGACCCACAATCAACATTTCATTTTTCTTTTCCTCTCCAGCGCAACATCCAGACTGAGCCACCAGTTCTTCCGAAATGCAGACCCGGCCCGTCCATCGTCGAGGGAAAGGCGAACAGCTGCAGAAGGAGAAGGAACCCAGCCAGATGCCTCCAGCATCCTCACCGTTTCGTCGTGCGGCGTGTCCCTCGTTCACCGTGGGCTTACTCCTCATAGCGGTATCATTTGGGTGTTCCTGTGTCTTTCTTTTCCAGGCGACAGAGAGAATGGAGATGGAAAAGTTGGAGTTGCAAAAGGATGGCTTCACCATCAAGAATTGGGATGGAGACGTCCTCTTCAGGTTGACCTTTCGATCCGGTGCCCTGGATCTGGAGTCTTGCTCCCAGGACACAGCCACGTTGACTTGTTCCAGGACAGACAAAAGAAAGATCCGTTTCCTGATCAGAGCAATTCAACCGAAGAGGACCGTGAGCTGCTACTCCATCACCTGGGAAGAGTTTCTAGCGGACACGACGGTGGACCACAAAATGTTCTGGGGAGATGCCTCCTGGTATGGAGGCTATGAGATGAGTGTCCAACATTGGCCGATCAAGCTTCCAGGATACCAGGAACCCATGCCGTATGTGACCAGCGACGTCTATTCTTTTCGGAACAACTTCGGAGGTGTCCTGGAGAGATATTGGTTGTCCTCCAAAGCAGTAGCTCTCAAGATCAACGACTCGGTTCCTTTCCACCTCGGCTTCAACGCCGCGGAATCCTCTCTTGTTTTCCAAGCCAAGTACAAAGATTCTCCATATGGTTCTTTGCCGGAGAATCAAGCTTTCCCAAGGTTATGTTACCATATCTGCATGGCTCCAGACATGACTTCCACCCATAAATACATGTCGCAGAATTATTTCAGGAGACCTTCTAAAGTTCCCTCAGAACAGATGTTCAGGTTTCCTGTCTGGTCCAC